TTCTCTTGTATAATATATATATTATGTATTATGCCTCTCTCTCTCTCTCTCTCTCTCTCTCTCTCTCTCTCACACAGTTTGAGTCTTAAGGAAAAGTAAGAGACAAATAACCAAACCTCCAACAAAACCGAAATGGATAAAGAAATAGAATTATACATAAAACTTGCTACAAGCCTACAAGTGGCATTTTGAATCATATTAACCCCATCTCTATGCAAAGGATGAAGGAAAGTTTAATAAGCACGGGAACTCCCTAAGTTGTCGTAATTCTGAATTAGAAGTAAATGCTCGAGCAATACTATAAGAATCAAATTTAAAGACCTAATTTATTACCGTCATTAAAGAAAGACCCAAATAAAAGCTATAATTGATTAGGCACGGGTAGCTGCGTCAAACGCAATAATTGATTAGACGGTGGGGTTCAAAATTTGATGGACCCACCTTCAATTTAACGCTATAATTGATTAGGCATGGGTAGCTACATCTAACTATAGCAGTCAAGATGAAGGCAAGCTCGTTGTACAGCAGTGGATAAATTGAAGAATACAGCACAAAAAATGTCCGTTGACTCCAGATATTTAATGATTTCAGAATCATCCCTTCATCTCCTTTTATCGTCCCTGTAAGGTCCCTCACTTTCTTGGTCCTTCAAGAAGCCCAGGAAAGCAAGAAAGCCGAAGAAGAAGAACCCGCCTGACCAATGGCCTCCCCCGCCACCTCCACCACCCCCGCCACCATCATCATCACGGGGTGGAAATCCAGTTCCACCATCATCAAGTTCTGGAGACTTTTCCTTCCCTGGAATGCAATCACATTTTATAAACAGCTATAGATAGTCCATCAGAATAATCAAATAAACAAAAAATAGTAAAACTTCCAATTTTACAGCCGACAAAATTTTTGCGAGCAGTTGGAGTCAGATATTCAGAAGCTGAGTTTTGTTGAAGTAGGAAGGGTGGTGTGTGTCAATCATGGCGCCTTTAAAGAAGCTAAGCCGTTCATGAGTCAATAATGGAACAAAACAAAATAGGCTTCATGCGTGCAGTCTCAAAGAAATAAGAGACTACCTTGAATGGGAGCAACAGTAATGGTTGATGATTGCCGTGTAACTGTTTGGGTCTGCTCTGCACCGCATCTTGCATTCTGCAGATGTAGAAAGGAAAAATCAAGATTCCAGACCTAAGACAAATTCAATGGAACTGGCAATTCCAAGCATCTATGAAGAAAACAGAAAAAAAAAAAAAAAAAAAGAAGGAAAATGAAAGATACTACAAATCACATGTATTTTTGATATATAATATCCCCGCTCCTTTTATTTTTTGAAATGAATCCCAACTACACTTTCCCATGTTGTGATGGAAGACATGGAAGTATCCATCCACAAGCACGAAATGAATACTCTTATTGTACTTGTTAATGGTTCTGTTCCAAGGACATAAACAAGTGTTACTAAAACATCAACTTCAGAATTATCAGTTGATAGAATCCTAGGCCTGCCCTTGCTTCACATGTTGAAACTTAAACATGCCACCCCACTATAGAGGAAGAAAATAGGCTTATATCCAGACTAGGAAAGCTTTACACTCAACCTCCTGTCTAAGGAAGGACTCAAAAGGCAAAACATAATAGTTTTTAACAATTTCTAGATATTGCAAATAACTGAAAAGAAATAACACATCACTATTTGCCGGAGAATAATGCTATTTGGACTTAAAAATCTGACCTAATTTGCTGATATAATAATGTGGCTTCATAGCAATCATTGGATCAACACCAAGTTTCAATGTTTGATGGAGCCTACAGTCAATTCAAAGGTTACAGTAAATTAGGTCAACAAATTATGTCAGTAAATTAAGTCTCAATAGCATTACTCTTTGCTGAATGATCAAGTCAGAAGACATGTGTGTGATCCAAAAATTTTAGCAAACATCAAACTTACTAGAGCAGCAGCACATATTATAGAAGTGGGCTTCACTCCAACACAATGTGTCATGGGTCTTCTTCTATCAAAGGGATGAAACTCTGTGCCAACTGGCTTGAAGCCTAATAGACTAAAACCAATATGCTTGACTTGCTTCCTGTATTTATCCTCTGTGTTCACTGTGACAATGAAAGAGAATTAGTAGAAACTACACTAATGGTCCATTTCCATTTGGTAGGAGGAATGGAAAACATGAAGGAAGAACTAAAGAAAGGAAATGCTCTTTCTATCCTTTTTATTGGGTATTATGATGAATGGAAAATTGAAAGGATTAATTTTTCATTGTTTCATATTTGAAGAGAAAATGAAAGCAAAGAAAACAAATGAAACTTCAATTCACCATTATATCCTTACATAAAAAAATGATTTTTTCTAATACATGTACACTTTCCAGTTTCCAATAATGGTCAATTTGGTTGGAAGGCTAGAAAAAGGAGAGAAAAAAAAGAGGATCCAATGATTTTCCATCCTAAGAGGAAATAAATACTTTTTCCATTCTTTTTGGTTAGCAGGAGGGATGAAAAAAAAAATGGGAATGGATAATACATTAGGCTTCATATATTTCTACCCAAAACTGGATGGATAAAAAATGGTGGTCAGAAACACTTTCCTCTGCCCTATTTCCCATCATTTCTTTTCCATCCACTCATTTTTTCTTCATACTAGCACTCTATAAATTACAGCAATATGTCCAACCATTGAGTGTGGGTGTGCACGCACCGGCACACAAGCATGAAATTTCTGTAGATATAGTTCTCAATATGACGCCTCATAGTTGAGTGTTACTGTAATGTTATTCAAACAACTTTCAGAAGCTAAAATTCCCTCCTCTCATTGCTCATTTCACAGGTTTATTAGGTATCTCACGAGACTGTGCAAAACAATCAAATCCCTTGTGCAGTGACCTTTTTTTATGAATTTATACTTTTTTAGAGACATATCCGCAAGAACTTCTTAATATACTTATGGAATTATATCTCACACCCATGTCTACAACTTATGCACTAAGCAGGAACTTGCACATACTTATATAATGATAAATTTCCCTCTTGTTAAACGTCTTAAAACATGATCATCTGGCTCAAATGGGAATTTTATTCATGCCATCTTGAAAATCACATATACAAATTTAAATACTTTATGTACTTATGATATCGAGGTTAAATATAGGCATACCTATTGGCACCCTAACTGGGCAGGCAGTGACACTTGCAGTCAAAGAATACATCTTTCACCTAAATTAATGAGGTCACCTGGCAATTAAACAATTTGCATTGGGACAGCCATCATGGTATGAACCAGCGAGGACTTGAACTCGATACAAACTCTAGCAAAAGCCAAAAGAAGTAAAAATAAACTTTTTATTTTATTTTTTGATAGAAGACAACAATTTTATTAATGTAAAAGAAAGATATAGTACAAATGATAATATGATATTACGGACAAGGCATCCATACTACAGCCAACAATCAGCAATAAAAAACAGTTCTTTCACATGCTGCATGCCAGCTCACCAAGATACTGAAGAGAGGTATTGGAGCAAATTCCTTCGAGAAGGATGCCCAGAAAGATGCTAAAAAATAGATATGGTTCTATAAATCACTACCCCTTGTACTTATCTTCAAAAACTCTTGTATTTCTTTCTAACCAAATCACCCATATAATAGCAAAAATTGCACATTCCCAAAGAGTAACTCATTTACTTCTCTTTTCAAAATTGTTCAAATCCACACAAAACATTGATGATATAGAACTTGGAACTACCCAAGAAATGTCAATTCAAACAACTTATTCCATAATTTCAATGTAATCAGACAATGCAAAAATAAATGGCTAGCACTCTCACAATCCATTTTGCAATCCATTATTTGTCTTTCCTTTACAAATGCCGGCTGAAACCTTGATATGGTATCACTCAAACTCTCCCTAACTAAAAAGACAAAACTTTGACAAAAATCTTATAAAGACAAGTGACGAGAGTAATCGGCCTAAAATCCTTAATTCTAATAGAATTCTTCTTCTTCTTCTTCTTCAGGATAAGACAAATAAACGTTGAATTAGTTATATCATTAACCACACTATTTCGCCAAAATTCTGAAGGCACTCTCATCAAATCCACTTTCAATACCTCCCACACTTCTGAAAATAGCCATAGTAAAACCATAAAACCATCTAGCTCAGGTGCTTTCTCTTAGCTACACTCAAAAATAACACTCCTCACCTTTACCTTTTCAAAACGTCTCTCCATCCACCTTGAAATCCTCTCCTCGATGGGGCACCACTCAAGCCCAACCACTCTAGGTCTACAATCTTCAGTAGTCATATATAAATTAAAAAAGAAACTCATAACCTCTTGTTCAATTTGATCCTCTTCCTCAACTAAGACTCCTCCATCTACTTTCAATTTATTAATAATTTTCTTTCTCTTATTCTCATTTGTAACTCTATGAAAGAACTTTAAATTATTATCCCCCTCCTTCGGCTAGTTCACCCTAGATTTTTGTCTCCAACTAATCTCCTATCCAAAAATAACCTCATCAAACTTATCCGTAAGCTCTTATCTCTCTTTTCTTAATTTCAAAATGCCAGCTGAAAAAATTACCTGACCAAAAACAAAATAATTTGTAGGCTACAGCCTCTTATTTATTCTTTAGAATCTGTTCACCCCAATAGAAAGTGCTTTCTAAGGTAAAAAAGAAGCGCATTTCCTCTAGAGCAATGTTACAAAGACCTAATCAATTAAAATGATTGGATCAAGCACCATATAATATTGAAAAAACTAGGTCCTTATAGCCTTGCTCTTTCCTATAGGCTATAAGATATAGTCCTTTAAGTAAACTTAAAATACAAAAATTGATGAAGTTAAGATGTGTCTAACATTTACCACAATCACATACTTACCAATAGAAGTGAATGGAGAAACAAAAATTTGAAGAAATTTTGTTAAGGACCATATTCAACTGAAACGAACAGAATACTAACTCGAATATAAACAGTAACGTGACAGAAGCCCTAAATAAAGATCGAATAATATAATTTGATGTTTCGTTCATTTATCAAACTCTAACTCGTACAGTGTGATGAATTATACCTCAACTTGGATGGAGGAGCAGTGTATAGTGTCGAGCCTTCGTCAAGGATGGTGTAGACCGATGACTGTTGCGTGACCGGAGAAGAGGCGAGGATGAGGGCCTTTTCGTGGTGGAGCTTGTTTCAGGTTACTCGAAAATATGAGGGTTTTCTGATAGTGATTCGCGAAGTTCTGATAAAGATAATAGGTTTGATACGGAAATTATCCCTGACCCGTCGTAGCTGTACCTTCAGCCAGTGGATTTCACGCCTGTTGAATCACCGACTGAGGATGGGTGAGATCTAGATTGTGCAGAGATTCTGGGTATTGGTAGACATGGAAATCTCTTGGTCGGGAATTATGAAATGAAGAAAAATTATAAAAGGTAGACGTTCTGAACACGAGAGATGAGGGAGATATTAGGGTTTGAAATCTTTAAAAAAAAGGGAAGAGAGAACGTGAGAGAGTGACGGTTGAAAACTCCGGAACATGATTTTTGGGGGAAATGGGTGAAATGTAGAAGAAGATGCTTTGGGGGGTAAGTTGGTAAAAACAATTGAAAGTTGAAAGTTGAAAGTTGAAGTCCGAAAGATAAATTTGTGAACGTTTTTATATTTGCTGAAAACTAAATTAGATAATCACACAAAGTTAACGTTTGAGAATAAATTAATTTTTAATTTTATCTTTTTACTCTTTAATTTAAAAATATTTATAAAATATGTCATGACATAAATCATAATCATTATTATTATATTATAGTTTACATTTAACAAATATGTAATCTAAATAAATAATATTTGAATAATACAATAAGTGAACAATAATAAATTGAATAACATAATAAGTGAACAATAACATTTGATAAAAAAATAACTAATAAATAATTAAATAATATTAAAAAATACAATAAATTAAATCTCATTAACTATGTGTGTGTGTGCAGTGCATATGTCTGTGTGTAATTATGTGTGTGCAGTGCGTGTAATGCGTGCGCTTGTGTGTGTAATTATTATTATGTATGTATAATTTTGTTACAGAAGACAAGGAAAAGGAAAAAAAAAAAAAAGATCGACAAGGAGAATATATAGGTCAGGGGTTTTGAAGAGAAAACTAATTAGAGTTTTAATAAAATTATAAAATATTTTTGGGTATAATTTTCATATTGTAGATATTATTAAAGATGATTTTACTGAGTGTTTTCAATTTTCAGAATTAAGTAAAAGATCTCTTACTTAATATTGTAACTTATTTTTAAGGAGCACTTAACATATTAAGAGAGTTTAAATTTTGATTATCAAATATGCTTAATTAATAAATGCTGAATACATTTATTTTAAGTGTTGAATTTAGGTTAACAATCACACTCTAACTCGGACTCCGACTTTTAAAAAAATATTCATAATTCGCTTGTTTTGTTAAATGAGTGATCTTGCACGAGCTAAAAAAGCGAGGCAATCCCAAATTTGAGCCAAACTCGAACAAATTGTTAGTGATTATCAGACCATTTTCTAACTTGATACAATATTTTGATCCTCCGACTTCAAATAAAATAGTAACATATCAGGGACAGATTAAAACTATTTGAGGCTTAAAACGGTTATTGAGGTTTTTTATTTTTAATATTAATAAATTTTTATTTAAAATATATTTTTTAAAAATTAAAAGTAGTATAATTTTATTGTGATAGTCGATTTTAAGAACGATTTTATTAATTTTAATTTTAAATAATCATCATCTACTAATTTTAATTTTTATAGTTTAATAAAAAAAATATTTTAGTTTATTTTTCATAATAGAAATTAAAAAAAAATCGTAACACACACAAAAAAACAATTGTATTTACTAGAGGGTGAGTGAGAGGGAGAGTCTTAATTTACTAGAGAGAAAAAATGATTACAAATGAATTGTGTGTTTTAGTTGATTAGTTAAAATTATTTTTCTAAAAAAATTATTTTAATATATTTTTAATATTATGAGTTGAGTTCATGAACCCAAACTACTCAAATTTATTTTTGATTGAATTTAAATTTTCATATAGTTTTTTTAAAGGCCAAAAATCTTATGGATTTAAAAATTTTGATTTGGACCGACTACACACCTAACAAATTTGGAATCTTCTTGAAATATGAGGCCTAAAAACCAAGCCTTATTGGCCTTATAATAGGGTTGGCCCTGTAACAAATTAACAGATTTTGACTTAAGAATATTATCTACAAGTTGGGAGGTCTATTTAACATGTTAGGGTGAACTTTGGTACAACGGTAAAAATATTTTATTATAACTTAAAGGTCACAAATTTGAATGACGAAAATAATTTTTTGATTTACAAAGGAAAGGTTGCATACATTTTAACTCTCTTCAAACCTTGCAATTATGGTAGTTTCGTGCATTGAATACACTTTTAGTATTATTTACTAGTTAGTAGGTTTGTTTATCAGCTAGTTCTTGTGTGTTTTGGCCAAAGTATAGTTTTCCAAATTAGATATGATTGAGCAATTCCCAAAAAAAAGAAAAGAATATATGATACTTTCAAAATTCTGGGTTATTGTAAAATTGCACAAAAATTTATCTTTAGCAGATCTTTTCAGCGTTTGTTTATACAGAGAAATAAGTGTTTTGGAAGGTTGAGATGTCCACAATCTTGCACTGCATGTAGAGAAATTATTTATGTGACTCAAAGCCGTGACACTTAAGTCACAAAGATGTCAAAATGATTAGAATCCATGCCTGATTTTCTTATCCCTTAGAACCCTTGTTTTAAGTACAAGTGTATGTATTCCACATAGCAAAATAGCAGTCAAGAAGAAAACATATACACAAAAGTATCAGGTCCAAACCAACTTGGCTACCCAAACCAAAACCCCAAGGAAAAAAGGCATCCACCCCCAGACAGTGGCCCTCAACACTGAGTTACTGGTGAGCTTCAATATACAATAACTTCCCTCACTCAAGTAACCATGCGTATTTTATACTTACACTTCAGAATCAGCATGCCTTTTTCTTAAATAACAAGGAAATAAGGAATGAAAAGTAAAATAGATGAACTTCAGCTCCTTGGTTGCAATGTCTATCTTGCCTTTTTACCTCCCTAATTCTTGCTTACAAAGAGGACAGCAAGATATAATTCTGAGCCATTGATCCACACACTTCAGATGGAATTTATGAGAACAGGGTAACTCCCTGATCTCTTCCTTCTCTCTGTACTTGGCTAAACAAATACAGCATTCCTGTTTAAAACAAAAAAGATTTTCATGAGCCCTTGATTAAACAAAACTCTCTTGAACATATTTGTTTTGGTTAAATTCAGCTAGAAAAAGGAGTGGAGACTTAATTGTACTTTCATTTGCAAAAGGCCTGAAGTACATCAATCTGCAATATTGGTACTCGCTCTCCAATCCAGCTGGTTGGTAATGCACGTAAGTATGATGATATTGGATGGTGCAACTCTTTTATGTGGATCATTATGATTAGAAGCACACTAGTAATTTTTCCAAAAAACAGAAAGATTCTTTGTATAACTAATTCTTCGTAAATAAGTTATCCTTTGATGAAATCCAATGCATAAATAAGAGAAACAATTTTTTACATAATTAGTTTTATTTTTTTAATGTTTTAAGTCCAGAGAAGTAGGCATTGTGGCTTACTGGAGTTTCATGATGAAGGACTGAATTCCCAAGCTCTAAATCTGCACCAACTTCCTTATATCTCCAACTGGGTAGATTGGAAAGTTGTTCATCAGATGCCCCTTTATCAATGGATCCCATGTTCATATTGTACCCAAGAAGGTTGCTAAGCAATGGCACACAACAGCATAGCAACAAAAACAGTATGAATGGAAAAGAGTAGCTGATAGCATTCCAAGCGAGCAGGGAGATACAGAGCACATGAAGTTTAGGAGCTCGACGAAATGATCCAAATCGAGAATCAAACACCCAAACATTTCCCATCACAAACCATATTGCAAAGAACAGCTCCAGAGAAGTCCGGCATTTGTTCATCAATTGCAAGCTCCTGTTCATATAAAAATCTTAGGAATTTGGTAAATTGCATAACAGTTGAGTAAGAATCTCTGCATCATTCTTACAATTTAGAGTAAATTTCATCCATGCAAGTTTGTTAATGGTGATGGGAATAAGTGTAACTTTGGTTAGTGTTAATGTCAATTTAAGTCTAAAAAACAACTATAAGTTTGTCATAAAATTATTTATATTTCCATAGTAAGGGTATCTATTTTCAAGAATTGGCATCACCGCTTTCAACTAAGTAAATTTTTTCTTCTTTAGTCCGTTTTAAGTTGAACCTTACAAAAAGTATCTAACCATAACTGTAAAAAAAGTTTCATTTATGATTCGCTACATCATTTAAATACCCAAAATCATTTGTCAACTTTGAATATTTATCTAATGAGTTGAAGGTAATATATGATTTTCTTTCTGCAAGTTTCTTACTTCCCAAGAGTTACAAAATATTCTTCCAAAATAATCTCAACTTCAACCTACACTTGGCACCCAGACCACCTAAAATGCTGGCACCATGATTATTACAATCGGACATGATATGCGACTGAAGCCTTAACAAAATAGCAATGTATGTTTTTCTGACAAATCAAGAGGGGCTAGAAGTGTTTTGATTACCTGGACTCTTCATTGCTCCTCTGCTGTTCTATGTCAGAGAAGTTAAACCCATCTCCCTGAGTCACATAGAAAAGCCGATAGCGCCAGAAGAGCAGAATCAGACTAAGAACACAGCTCAAATCATACACAGAAACCCATATTCTCATAGGCCAAACTGGCCTCTCCTCCTTGGAAACAGCCAGAGTATATGTTGTTACCATTATTTGAACAACCAAAGCTATAAACTCCATCATTATCCAAGTTCCAGAATTAAATGGATTAGACCCGAGGTCAGACCTTGATCCATTCTGGTAATGAAACACCCTTCTTAGGAAGCTGAAACACCTTGATCTTGATACCCTCATTGCCATTCTTATCAAGAATGATGAAGGGGGAACACGAGCAGGCCTGTTTCGGACACCTGCAGCCGTTCTATCTTCTGTTGTTGTAATTGATGAAAATGAAACTACAATGCCAGAATTACATAAGGACTCTGGTGTGAAGAAATAACGGGTATTCATAGGGAACCAATTTATATACTTATTTTATAAAATCCCAGGATGAACCTGCCCCACTTGGCTATGTACACTTGAACTATCATGAAGAAGAATACATATCAAATTGAGTTATTGAACAATGAGGAAAGAATTTCACAAATTCCAAATTCTGATAAGATCAATAAACTTTTTTCAAGAGAAGGATGATATGCAGCTAGGTAGTAGCATCAACCAGTGAAATGCTACGAATTTTCGAAGATGTGCATATTAGCTGCAGCAAGCCTGAATCGAAAATTCAGAACTCAAAAAGGAAAAAAAACAAACACCTGATAGCCCACAACCTTAAGCTCCCAAAATTCTCATCCCCAAGAGCTTGGAGTTCTGAATATAGTAGTCCCCAACTAGAACTTTACTGGGTTTGTCTCAATTGGTGGCCTTTTCTTCAGAATCACCAGAACCCCAGAATTCAAAAACTTCAAAAGCATCGAAGTTTCAAAAAACAATCACAGCTTCTGCGAATAAATGGAATCGAACCAGAACAGCCAATAAATGGATTGGGCAACAGAAGCAGAAGGTGAATAGTTGAACCAACAAACCAGGAAGGTGAGGTTTGGAATTCAGATGGTGACCAAAAATCAAACAGCTTTGCTTTGATTGCAAGGGAATCAGAGGATAAGTACAACCGTTGGCCTAACTTCTCTCTGGGTTTTGTTTATGTAGCAAGCAACAACTGAAAATTATTGGTTATTCAAATGCAAATCAATCTAAAATGGATTAGAACTAGGATGAAAGCAATCACAAATTTATTTTTGTGATGTTAATCTCAATTTTGATTTAAATTGGAAAGAGGTCAACTTGATTATTTGGATGGTTACGTTTTTTCTTTTATTATTTTACATATATAAAGATCTTGAATTCTGGCGGGTACATTGGTTGTGAGGTAAGCGGTTGGCCAACTACCCCAACCAGCAAGTTTCCATGATGTTGGAGGAGCCTGGCCCTATAATGACATTGGGCACTAATGACATTGGGCAATGACTATGGCTTCCTATTCTCAAAATCATGTGTTAATTGCTAGGATTGAAACGTCTTAGCGATTCCTATAACGGCCCTTGTCGATGTCATGCGTAATTATTTTGTGTATAATAATGTGCGTTTAGAGTTTATGTTATAGTCATAAATTTAAATAATGTACAATTGAAATTCCGGCAGGAGCCGTTAAGATCCCTCAAGTTTTTAAATTATATATTATACCTCTAAATTATGTTTTTGATTTTATTTTTCATGCCTCTCAAATTTTAGAAATTATACTTTATACCACTTTTGTTATCTTGATTTTATTTTACCCTCGGTTATTGATTTGACTGCATTTCACCATTAATTATTTCAATTACGACATTTTGGACAAATCATTAAATTTGGTTTTCCACAATTTGATAAATTTTGAATTATTTTGTATAGTCTAATGTAATCGACCAATAGTCAATTTCTAGTGAAATCAGTGTCATTATAGTCTAATGTAATCGACCAATAGTCAATTTCTAGTGAAATCAGTGTCATTGTTTTAGAGGAATAAATATTTTAGTTTGACGAATTTTTTGATTTTATTGACAATGGATACATTACAGTGTATCATGTGAAATTAATTTTAATAGATTCTATATATCTAACTATACCTCCCTAATTACACACATTGAATAAATATTACGGGTTATGCAATTATTTTACCCCTTTATGATGAAATTTTGGCTCTGCCCCTAATTGAAGCAATTCTTGATTGCTAAAAAAAAAAATTCGGGGTAACATATAGTTAAACATATGATTAACTATTTTTTTTTTTTTTTACCAACCGTCTTTTGAAATCATAACTTGTACTTCAACTCGAGATAAGCTCGATCACTCTCAAAACCGCACACGCATTGGAAAAAAGCCTAATTACAATTGCTAACATAAAGACGTTTGGTGGTGTGTCTAAGACATTATTAATGGCCAATGTTGATAAACGAGGTGTTTCCCAAATGTCCTTGTCTTTTTTTTTTTTTGCCTGGGTTTTCATGTGTCCATTTCAATTTTATCGTTTGATGGAAGGATTTGGAACACATACCCACTTTGTCTTTGTATTTAAATGGCATGGTTGTTGATATTATAACTCAATGGGGGATACATAGTCATTCTCACTTTACTTTTGATTACATACTGGAACCACATTGCAAGCAACACACAAGCCATAGCCATTAAAAGTGATTCTTATTTGAAATTGAACGGTTTTCTTGTCATTTATGCTACAATCCAACTCGTTTCAACCCAACTCAACTTTACGAAAATTTAACGCAATTATTTAGAGTTAGCAATATTAATAGTGGATCTCGATCGACATCTTAAGGAAAAGATGAGTAATGTTATTTGAACCTAAAAATTCAACTTAATTTGTTGACTTAATGATGTGGTTTCATTAGAACCGTTTGATTAACATCAAATTTCAATATTTAATGAGACTCATAGTCAATTCAAAAATCATAATGAATTAGATCAATAAATATAATTAATGAATTAAATTTCAATAACATTACTTAAAAAGAAAAAGATTACCAAAAATCTCAAAAAAGTGGAAGAGCCCGGGGGCCTGAATACCAATTTTGTAGTGGGCAAATCAAGAGATGGTCTTTTTGAGCTAAGCAAGGTTGTTTAGGTTGTCATGAAATTTGAGATGAGGGATTGCTTCGATGGTGATGGTTCCTTTGGTAGGAGATATAAAAAAGTGGAAGGAAAAAAGGTTTTTTAAGTTTTTTTTTTATTTTTTATGATTCGTAAGAAGGATGAAAAAGTATAAGATATTGATTTTTAATTTTTTTTTTTGGTATGAAAAATAATAAAAGAAAATTATTACTATTTAAATGTCATAAATGCACCTAACTATGTTGAGAATATTACATTGCCAGACGTGAGGATGAAGGGATTAAATTGTCAATAGCTATGGTGGACCCCATGCAGACACCTTGTCAGCTGCCTTTTTCCTATTTTCCTCCCATATTTGGAAGGACCCAATTTGGTAGGCCGGAAGGAATCCTTTTCTACACCTTTTTTCTTTCCCTCCGTTTTTCCTCTATAACCAACCAGTGAAAAACCTTTCCATCCCCCCTATTTTCCTTCCATCATTTTTCGCCCACCCACTTTTGACTCATACCAAACAGGCCAAAAGGTTTCACTGTCGTCGACAACTGATTGCGATTTCAAACCTCATCAAAAAAAAGTTGGTTTCATAAAGCCCAAATTAACCCATATATTCGCACGTTCAGAGAGCCCAGGCCCAATATGCTTGTAGAGGAGTTCAGTTCGTCTGGCTACGACACCGTTCTATTTGGTGTCGGCCTAAATAACCGCGTAAATCTTTCAACATAAGCGGACATTACAATGGCAGGAAGGTAAATAACGGCTCCAGCTCTCTCTCTCTCTCTCCCTGAAGGAAGAAGCAAGAAGATCGAAGGGCATCGTCGCAAGGTAAAGATCGTAATCTTTCTCTTCGATGGTTGATATGTCGGTGTCTAGACAAACACCTGGCACTAGGGTTTTAATTTCAATATATAACATACTAGAATCCATATTAGGGTTTGTCTCTCTTTCGACTGCTATTATAAAATTTTATTTTGATTGTATATGTTATGTGATTATCCTACGATACGGATGTTTGGCCTTCAACAAATCATTGATTTTGAACTCCCCATTTCTTCACACAACAATGAACTGGTCATTTTTACTCATACGGTCCATTGATGAGTTATGACTATATATGGTTACTATGCACAAAAATCGTGTATTTTCGTGTTGGGTTGACATGAAAATTTTAATGCTCTTCTAATTCACTTGAGGAACGTGGGGTTGTTGTTTATCACTGCTTGTATTGTTTTTGGTATATGGGTTACATATTTATAGATCTGCTTTTGTGTTTCTCAGAAAACATGACGACTGCAGCGAGACCCACATGGGCACCTGCTAAAGGTGGTAATGAACAAGGCGGTACTCGAATTTTTGGCCCATCTCAGAAGTATTCTTCAAGGGATATTGCATCTCACACGACCCTAAAACCAAGGTTAGAACTTATGAATTTTATCATTTTTGCTTATGTTGCGGAATTTCTTTGTGAATTGTTATCCAAAATCATATAATACCAGCGGAGCATTGTGTGCGTGAAAACTGTTTTGGCAACATCTGCAAAGGGATGAGGTCCTTGAAGATGACCATGAATTAGGATTATGAACAGGCAATTTGGCTTTTCAATGTCTATCATGAAGTTTACAAACTTTGGATATAAATTTAGAACTGTTTGAAGGTGTGAATGAGTTTTTCTGCGGAATGAACCTCATTAAATCCTGGAACTTGAGGTTGGAAATCTCAGCTTTCCAACTTTTAAGACATATAGCATGACAATGCAAGAAGAAAGAACCCCTGTTTGTTTTGCTCAATAAGTGGAAGGAAAGTACTGAGAACTAGAAGATTGAGGAAAAAAAGGAAGAACAAGGTACAAGAACTAAAAGACCAACCATAAATTTTGAAAATAAGGAGGAGAACTAGGCAGGGAGTGTGGATGTTTGGACACTCTGGAGGAACATCAGACAGTCTAATGTTCTGGAGTGGGGATAATGAAAAATGGTTGGTTTGGCATAGTTATTCAGTGTAGCGGTCCCATCTTCATCTTTTGGTCCAATCATCATTCCTTCACCTTAGAAGTCTTTATATTGGCATTGATTGAGTCGTCTTCATGATTGTCTCTTTGTAAGGCTGATGGGAAATGACTTCACTCTCAGATGTAGCCAGCCAGTCCAACTTTTGCCATAAGTATCAAAGAAAGGAAAGAACAAAATCAGAATTTTCGGGGTAGGGCTGGGAAGGAAGAAGTGGCAAGACAATTGACTTGTTTCCTGGGCTGAGATACTCTTTTACCGTATTTGATTAGAAGTCATTTGCCATCGGTGACTTCATTTATTGGAGATTTTTATTGCAATGTAATGTTTTACTACATGATGTAATTTTTTAGTCCTATTCAATTTAAGGTTTTTTTGAAATTTATCTATAACAATGACCAAATAACACAAATTTCCTATTAGTCATACAATATCCAGGTATTCTTTGATTCACTTCAAACTCGGGTTTTAGATTGTCTTGTTGCAATTATTTTGTTGTTTCAAGGTGGTCAGTTGTGATTCAACTTCCAGAATCAAACCAAGTTCAGAATTTTTTAAGGTTACTTGACTTGGATTTGTATGTCAGTTTAGTTGTTTAGTATGTCTCTGGTACTTTAAGACTGCATCTGAGTTTTGTGTGCTCCATTTCCCTTATGGGCATGTTGAAATCTATTTATTTGTCTTTAGGCCTACTCACAATTTATGTCTTGGACCTAGATGTGTAAAACATAATTACTGAATCAGGATAATTGAAGGGATAGATGCAATTTGAAATTCTTCTTATCTCACACTCCATCTCTATGTGGTTGTAGAATAGTTTGATGCTGGTGAACTGTGTTGCATTTGAGCTTCCCTATGTTTTTATCAATACTTCTTGATGCATACAAATGCAACTCTAGTATGCTTATGTCAGTTCTTCCTTTTATATCATGAAGACTTAAATAATAGTACATCCTCCAGGTCACCCGTTCGTAACTTCTGTTTACTTGTCATAGACTTAGACGACAAGTTGGTTCTGGTTGATTTATTTCCCTGACAATTCTTGACTGACTAACTTGATTCAGTTATGTACTTGCATAACTGGACCAATATTCTGAGTTAATTTGCATGAAAAATTACTGCCAATCCTCCTGGGAAGATCAAGGTGGCTGAATTACTGGATTGTAATTTTTGAAGATGTGGCTTTACTATAATGTCATATTTTTTTTTTTGGTATCCCTTTCCCATTTTGATGCCATTTGCATAACTTCATCTGATTTGTAACGTGTTGCTACAGGAAGGACGGACAAGACACCCATGAGGAACTGCAGAGGAGGAACCTCCGCGAGGAGTTGGAAGAGCGCGAGCGGAGGCATTTCTCGTCAAAGGATAAGGCCTACAAGGGTAAATGGTTTTTTGATCATTGTTTTGTCATACATCTTTAACTTTCATGCGAGTGCATGTTGTTTCATTCGTCAGTAATTTGTTTTTGTATAACACTTATTTCTATACATTTGCAGAAGACCGAGACCACCATAGGAAGGGAGGCCATCTTCTGCTGGAAGGTGAATCCTACCTCCTTTTTGATGAATGGTTCAAATAGAACAGTGTATATAGCATATTCTGTATGCATACTCAGTCACCTAACTTAGTCATTTACAGGGACAAAGAGGGAGTTTGAAGACCGCATCATTCCACGCAATGCAGATGCTGATGATGCTGATGTGGAAGTCAAAAGTGACGATGAGAGGTTTGTACTTTTGGCAAGTATATTTAGGTTGAACATGGCAAATGCTAGCTATAGTATAGTGCCCACTGGGTCCATTCAATGATTGCATGCATGATATGTGACTTTGTGGAAATGTTACTTGTGATTAGCTATGGGGCCTGTGGGAGTGGAGTTTTTTTGTTGGTGGGGATGGGTGTGGAAAAGGTGTCTTCATTGTTTGTGTAACTCAAGTCTTTGTATATACATATGTCTTTGCATGTGTGCGCATTGCAATTAATAGGTTTTTCATTTAGATTCCTTTTTTTTTTTTTTTGTTTGCCCGCTATCCTTGGTTTTGAAGTGACTAGTTTTACTTTGTTAAAAATTGCTAAATAATTCATTATCTTTTCCATGTTAGATACCTTTGGTTTCTAATATATGTTGCTGTTGAAATCACTATCATTATTTGCAAAAAATGTGCTAAATTATCAATATTGTATGGTTAGTGATGATGAGGATGATGATGATGAGGATGACACAGAAGCTCTTTTGGCTGAGCTTGAACAGATAAAGAAAGAGAGAGCTGAGGAAAAACTCCGAAATGTAAGTTCTCTTCTCTTCATTCAGAAATGCATGCGCTCTAGAAGTCTTTTTGTATTTCTTGAGTAGATTGAACAGTAGTTTCGATTAATAAATATTTTGGCATTTTTAATTGAAGCCCTAAGTGACCACTTATTGGTTGTTAATATTAGAACCATGGTCTCCTATGCTGTGGTGTTGCCTTAAAATCCGAACTTAATACCTCTTAATGCCTACATAAATGCTGAGAGCATGGTGGAGGTACATATACTAATGTCGAAATGCGTAGGTTTCTTGCATATTTATGGATGTGGGTTGTGCTTTTGCAGGAAAGGCAACAACAACAAGAAGAACTAAAAGCCAAGGAGGCAGAACTGTTACGAGGAAACCCTCTGCTTAATACTCCAACCTCCTTTAATGTGAAAAGAAGGTTGGTTTTTTGTGGAACTGATCCCCACCCTGTAGTTTTGCCATTCTTCTGAATTGAATATGTCATATTTCTAATTATCATTTGCTCAGGTGGGACGACGATGTGGTTTTCAAGAACCAGGCTCGTGGTGAAACCAAGACTCCCAAGCGCTTCATCAATGACACCATCCGAAGTGACTTTCATCGGAAATTTCTCCAGAAATATATGAAGTAACTCCACTATTTGAGCAAAACTGCAGCCAGATATAGGAAGCCTATTGTGAAATCCTAGGAATTTCTGGGTTCCTGATCCTTGTATGTAGCAAGAGGCAGCAGTAATTGTGCTGTGTTGGAATTTGGCTAGAAATGAATATGTAACATCATCAGTGGACAGATCATATTGTGTGTGAAACTGACAAGTATTAATTTATCTTATGGATGGATTTATACTATCTGCTCTGCATTTTGTCAGGACCCTGTCACAAGTGCATGTTCATATCTTTCATTGATATAGTGTCCAGTAGTTGGTGCTTCAGTCACGATTCTCTTCTTTCATGTGGGGAGTTTCAAACATAATTAGGCTATCATATTCTCACAAGACATCCAAATAGCAAAGCTCACGTGCAAATTGGCGGGGTTAAAGAGGTTATTCTCCTTTGCAATTGGCGGGGTTAAAGAGGTTATTCTCCAGCAAAGGTATCGAAAAATATTTCTTAGATCTAAGTTTAATTTATTTATAATCATCGGTTCCATATTTTAACCCCGGGTTTCTTGGAGGAATGAGACATTGTGCAGGTGAAAAACAAAAAAGGGAAGCCCAGTTGGTTTGTTAATCTTATATAGCTAGTGAAGATCTGTCACTGATATTAGCTCCAGTCTGGATGTACCTCAGAGATTGCTGGGATAGACCAAGTCATCCTCTAATGCTAAAAAACTTAAAACATTAATCGATATAAATAAACAAGAGAAGCTAGGAACAGATTAGGTGAATTGGAAAAATAACTTTGTTGTGCAATAAGAGGATCAATAGACTGGTATAGAGAACCCCAGCCACTATAGACTATTGAGTATCACCTGCATTCTAGGCTGCTTATATACTGTTTTCCTTGCTTCTTACATTACCTACAGCTCAAAAAAGAAAGAAATGTTTAATGAGATGATTGAATCTAAATGACCTCTCTCTCTCTCTCTCTCTCTCTCTCTCTGACACACACACACAGTAACTAATGAACACTTCTGTGTACATGATAAATCATAGAACTAGACAAATCTGTAAAACAAATACATAGCAATGTACAATTTCCTTTAAACAAGCTGCCAACAACCAAGATATCATTTACACGCTCACAAACAGTAAAAGAATGAAGAAAAAAAGAGAGAAAAACAAACACTCCATGAACAATTAGAATGAGACTATAACAACACAGCTTGAAAAAATGTGTTGGTGCAGGGAGGCACAAGACCACACTGGCGAAACTACTCGTGTGCTTGAACCACTGATTTCCCATCCAACCAGCTCAACTAAGGTGCATGGTCTCTTCAACAATCGCAAACTTTCTTTTTCCTGTCGAAGAAGACATTGAAAACTTACTTCCTACTTGTTACTTCCCTTGGGTTCATCCAAAACAAATTCTTGATACAAATCCTTAAGCCCAATCACAACAGTAGTTATCAGCGGCCCCATTATCGCTCCCTGCAAATGAAGACACATGCAACATAAGTCAAATGTCCACAACAACCAAATACATAAAATTTCCATGACATCACACAATACAACGTATTTTATAAAACTGACAGCAGAGGTTGCTAAATGAACAACATAAACTGTAAATCAAAATCATCAAGGAAACATAAGCATTATTTGATCACTGTCACTTTTGATATGTTACTGTGAGGAATTAATTGTTTACTATTCTTTTCCTTCTTAAGCAAGAAGTGCATATGGAAAAGACGCTTCCCAGACGACAAACTCCTTGACATCTAAGAAAAACCTAATCATCTGAATTAAAGACCATAAACATTAGGGATAAAAATACAAAGAGCCTCATTGACATTGGACTAGTTACACTTCACCCCTCTTTTGATAAGTTACTTCACTTTATTAGCCTTTTCTTCATCCTCTGAAAGAAAAAAACTCATACCCACCGGTCTCTAGGCAACACAAAACAAATTAAATGACTAAACTACCCCTAATACTAAAATAACTAAATATACTCTAACATCCCTCCTCAAACTCATGATGTGCTAGTAGAGAACATCAAGAATTTGCCAAGCAGAAGACAAAAGCGCGTGATTGCGTAGACTTTGTAAGAAAATTTGCCAACTACATAGTGGAATGAAGAAAGGAGAAAGAGATAGTGTCCAACTGAAGGTGGTGGTGCACAAAGTGGCAATCAATCTCAAAATGCTTCGTGTGCTCATGAAATACTGAGTTGTAAGCAATCTGATTAGCACTGGTTTCCGTTGTTAATGGGATTTGGATAAAAAAATGGCTTTGATACCATGTTAACTTTAATCAAAATAAGAAAAGATAGAGGGGGAAAAGAGAAATATCTTATTGCCTAATTGACATTGTTCCAGCATGCTTAATAGAATACACAATAGAGAGCTTATATATTAGGGCAACACAAAACACAAAACAAATTAAATGACTAAACTACCCCTAATATTAAAATAATTAAATATACTCTAAAAATAAGCACTTACACTTTAACTACTTTCTCTCTACAAATTTTTCCTTCCATTGTTTTCTCTTTGAAGTAAAATTCTACCATCACCACCGGCCACCACCATGCCACCACCCACCCTCCAATCCCGCCTCTTAACGTCATCACCCCCTAAACCCACCTCCCACCATCGCAAACAAACCCAACCCAAATCACGAACATCCTCCATGAGATTTCCACCACTGCTGTTGATTATTTGGGGTTCTTTTCATTTTCTCACAAAACAGGCAAAAAAAGAAAAGGAAAAAAGGACAAGGATGGGAAAAGCACAAAACAAAGATCATCCAGCATGATTTAGTCTTATAGTCAAGAAGTTTTATTATCTCACTAATTCAAGGGATCAAATGTTACAAGTAAAATTATTTAGTTTCATTACATTGATCAGTACAAAACTTCTTCCTACATGTCTCTTTCACGACATTAAAAACTGTTAAAGAGTCACACTTCTGAATGAGAGAGCCCAACATTTCAATCTTCGTATTCCAAGTAGCAGCACTTCTCTCCTACCATTTCCCTGTCACATGCAAGAAAAATTACCTACCTAATCTCAGAGATGCAATGCTATATCTGGCTGCTGGCATGAACCAATCTGCAAGCTAGAACTAAATGAGCTTGGAGCCTGAAATCTAACATTCAATTCGGGTGGGATTGGAAGAGTATACTGTATATGGTGTGGTGGATAACTACCAAGATGGTTTCTCAGATTACCCAACATCAGGTCGCATATGTGAATTGGGGCTTTCATGTAGGACTAGTGAATCCCAACACACACACACACACACAAAAGGTCAGAATTGTTGGTGATAATGGCTGGTGGTGGTCTGGTGAAGGTCAAATAGTAATTGAAAGGGCTCAGCCAAAATATAGTAAGTAATTGAATGCTTGGTTGATGAGTGGACTGCTTCCTATAATGAGTGATGACACAGTAATGACATTGAAAAAAAAGAAAATGAGGGTCATGTTAGATATATTGGCAATAACTGTTAATTCTGTCATGTTTGCATTATATCAATTAGTTCAGATGGCTTGATATCATGAAAGAATGTACAAGGGATGAAGTGCAACTAGCTCAAAGTAGAACACTGTTTTTGTCTATTTAACCCTCGACTCTAATTAGCTTTTCAGGGATGCAGCAAAAGAACTATGCATAAAGAAAGCTTGACACCTTAAATAGTCATAAATGACATTCCTTGACACGAGGTAAGAAGCATGAAAAGAAAACACTAGCATCGGAAATATTCAGAGGTGAAGTTTGTGTTGGATCACAACAAAATTAAAATGATTAATTTGGCATTTACCTCTAGTGCAGAGGGGAACAATGTCATTCCACCAATAATGCTGAGCCCAGTAAGATATGCACTATGACCAGGAATATCCTCTTGGATTTCAGTAGTCCCATAATCCATAAGCACAAGATGAATAATGGACAAGCTGATGGCCAATATATATCTACCTTCCAGCACCAATTGCAAAGCCGCTGGAATTGTTGAGAGCCATGAGGGAAAGATCGGAAACAAAGGGCTGATGAATGCAAGTATGGTAGACATGTACAAGAAGTGTATTGAGTATAGTTTAAATAAGAGCCAAGTGAGACATCCCTGAAAGAATGCAATTTCAGCAGTTGCCAACAGAACCCCCGAAATAGCTTTATCAAGGACCTCAACACATCGAGTCCTTGCAGATTGTGAAATTGGAAGCATACACATCACTTGCTCTGTTACTCCACCTGACTCTGATGTGATAAGATAATACAAAACCCAGAAGAAAATCATCGATTGGGACACAAAATTGAAAAGACCTGCAGCTCCAGAGACAATGGAATTGCCAATCACAAACACCACTTTCACACTACCACCTAGAACAGATTTACTGCTAGCCAATACACTTTGCATCACATCCATTCCTTGAACAGCATACCCTTTTGCCTTCTCAACCAAATCCTCCCTGGTGATCAGCAATTCCCTAAAGATTGCATCAACTTCTGTATAGATCTGCCCCCATTCACGATCACTAATCCTCTTCCTCAAACTCAAAATCTTCTCAGTGTATGGGGAGGGGGACATCATAGCCGTGGAGCGCTCAGAAGAGTTTGCTGCTGGGGTGACCACAAAATGCTTTATTCCGGTGACAAATTCCGTCATATTATACTGCATTGCCAAACTGTCAATTTGCTCAGAGACAGTCTCATACAACTTGGTACTGTACATATCCACCATCCCAGGCACATCATTTTCATCCATCCATTTCTTAACACCAATTTTCTCCGCATAATTACTTTCTTGTACATGGGATTTCAGTGCAAATACTGCATCTTTCCCCTCAACTCCAATCTTATAAGAGAAGAAAATCAATCCAGCCAAAGACCCCACAATCATTCCAACAATCAATCCAACAGCCACTATGGTTTTTAATTTTTTCAATATTCCTCGCGTAAAATATGAGGAAATTGGACTACGACGAAAACTCTGACTCCTAAACGATGATACCGCAGACATAGTTGATTCAACACTACTAGAGGTGAAAATGAAGCCCAATGCAAGAAGTGCTATAGACCCAATACCACCAACGTGTTCATAAGCCATCACAAACACCCAAAAAGACACAAGCCACCTGAGCAAAATCGAAAACCCGCTTCGATTCCGCCTGATAGTATTGGATTTCTTTTGACGAAGAAGAACCCGGAGTAAAACATCCTTGATATCAACAAGGGTACCAACAAAAACCCTGAATATAGCTATGGGTACAGCCAATACAGTTTCTGTGAGGCCTAAGTTCAAGGGTTCATACCAAAACGCAACCAGGGTTTGTTGAATTCCTCTCAAAGGGATAGAACAGAGCACAGCCCATTGTATAGGCCTCAAATACTCTTCCAGTAACTTACAGACCCCATAAAGTAGAAAGATTGTGAAGGCCAGACCAGCATGGGCCATGGCTATGTACATGGCGAGACGTACCTGGGGGTCTCCAGAGAGGGAACTGTGATCTGGGTCTTGGGTGTTGGGCTCCGAGGATGATGGCGCGTGGGATTCCGGCGACGGCGCGTGATTCTGGGGAGACGAGTCTGGTTTGCGGATGGAGGCCGATCGGAACATGTCTTGCCACGGAGGGGATGATGAGCTTGATTGGGACTTGGGGTCCGAATATGGTACCAGCTCCATTTGACACAAGTTCTACACTACAGAGAAAAAGAGAGTTCAGAGAGAGAAACCTCCCTCTCAAGAACTCCCAATAAGTGTCAGATGAGAATCTCAATAGTGTTTTAGATTCTGCTGAACAGGGGAGAGACAGAGAGAGTGAAGGAGAGAGACAAAAAAAAACAGGGATATCTGACACGGGGGAGTTCTGAATTTGGTATAGAATGGTTGGAAATTACAAGTAAGTTTTATTCTTTTTTTATTTTTTTGTTTAAGGTGACGGTGTTAAAACTAATTTATCCGTACTTTAATTAATTTTTTTTATTTAATTAAATGATCATGTTAAAATTAAAATATTTATAAAGAATAAATTTATTATAATATAATTTTAAAAAATTATTAAAATTTAAACGTATAAATTTACAACTCATGAATTATTACTTGAATTACTTTGAGGAAACGTTTTGGAATCACCTAAATCTCGACGTGATTGTCTTATTTTTGATAAAATTTTAAAAAAATTAATTAAAATATAAATTAATTAGAATATCTCTAATAATTAAGAAAAAAAAATTAAAAAAGAATGTGGTTGTGGTTGTCCAATGGGACTTTTGACTGGTTCTTATCTGTCGGCTATTTGTGTAGAAACAGTTGTTACCATGGAGGGTCCACACAACGTGTAAAGCTGTTTTCCAATCATGGTAGCTTCTTTTTTTTGTTTTTTTTTGGGGTGGGGTTTTGGCTGGGCGGGGGACATTATAAGTTCTACTGTAATGACCAACATGCCCTTGTGTTTTATGTAGCCAAACAACAGATCAAGTGTAAAATCCAACAACTACCCCATTTGTTTCTGATAATTGGTCAATTTCCCCCCTCATTTTTTCTGAAACCACGGTTATTTCTTTTGGTTTTGAAAGTACTTTGACCTATTGCTCCTTCTGTTTGTTTCACTCTCAGAACCGTTGGGAATGATATAACATTTAGAAAATGCTATATTGCCCAACTTGTATTCCAAAAAATCCTATCTTAAATGAATTTATACCCTCACACACCTCATATTCTACAAAAAAAAAGTTGATTTATTGTGGTTCACGAAATGAAATGTGAAGGTATCATCTCATTTGAGATACAAGTTGGGAAAACATATCATTTCTCGTAATGTTTTAACCAAAATTCCAAAGAAACTCGAAGTAATTTGAAGTTTAAAGCAGTAATATTAAATGAGGATTTTTTTTTAGTATCATTTTAAAAAATAAAAATTATTTTTATTTTTTTTAAGTGAGAAAGGAGGATGTGATACTTTATTTTTATTTTTTAAGAGAGAGAGAAAATGAATGGATGTGAGTAAATATGAGTTGACTTTTGAATATTTTTTATTTGTTTTTAAAATTTTTGATTTTTGAGTTTCTAATGTTATTGATTGAAATGTAGGTTCAAATTATTGAAATTATATTTTTTTAATTGGGCTTAAATTTTTTGGGACTTTTTTGTAAGGCCTAAAATTTTTATGGATTAAAATTTTTTATGTAGACTAATTTTTATGTATCTAAAATTATGAGAAATTTTAAAAATTTGGACTCTAAAGTCCACACTTTTTTTTTTAATACTGTTGGGTCGGGCCTGATTCCAAGAACTGTATAACTTAAAAGAAATAATATGACACTAAATAAAAAAGTCCAAATAAGCTGTTATTCTATTTGAACTCTAAATTTAATCCTAAAAATTGATCAGGGCAGCATTACTGATGTTGAATAACTAAAAGATCCCCCCTCCATCGAAAATTGATAACAATATGGCATGATATACGGAGAATGTTGACGTCAATTCACCCTCGACTACTACTGATGAAATTTCTAGTCGTATAAGGATAGGAATGAGAAGGAACATCAATTTATTGCTAAAAACATGTACCATTTGTGAAAAAAAAAAAATCATAATATCTGAATGCAACCATGCTCATATTTTTCATTCTTACAAATAATATGTTTCACATTTGCATTCAATATTTCTTGTGTTTTTAACAAATAATATGCTTTGATCATATTTTTTATTTGTCCTAAATGTAATCACTTTTAGATAAATGATCGGTTTACCTTCGTTACGATTTTATTGTTTTAAAACATTTATCATATATTTCTAAATATGTTTGTTTTTCAGAGAAATTGATGGTTAACTTGTTTAGCGTATATATAAATTAGCCTTATGGCCCCCTCAATGCACGAGATATATATTCTTTTTATTTTTTATTTATTTTAATCAATTTTTTTCTTTCACCTTCCCACTTAAAAGTGTAAATTAAAAAAAAAACTAAATTATTGAATAGTAAAAAAAAATTAATACAAATAAATTTGAAAAGAATAGTGGGTAGTTAATGGAGAGTTTTGGGATAATTACGAAAGATACGTGATATAATGTGATTGGAGGAAGACTTAGTATGATAATTAAAAAAAAATTAAATTCTAGAAAATTAGGAAGTGCAGAGCAAAGGCTTCTCAAGCCTTCTAATTATAAGTTATTTATTATATCTATATAATAAAATAGCTAAGAATGTTTGTTTTGAACTTTTTTGCGGCTCAGATTGCTGGACGATTCTTGATCCAACGGTCCTCATCATAAATTTTCCAAACACTCATATCTCTCATCTAACTCTCTGCCATTATCTCATACTAACTAATACAAAAGACTCATATGTATTATCTAACTCTACTCTGCCATTTTTTTTTGGTGTTTATTTGGTTCGTTATTAATGGTTTGGTTGATAGCATTAGTTATGCATTCCTTTGGTGTATGGTTGGTGATTTGATTATTTATGTAAGGCTATGTGATAAAATTGAGGTTTTTTTATTTTTTATCTAGGTTGCTCAGAATTTTTCTCAGATTTGTAGTTTACTTTAATCACTTGATTTGTTGGTTTTTCGTATCGAAATTATAATCTTTTGGTGGAAAAATTAATTGTTTTTCGTTGATATTGTTAGGTTTGAACATGTTTTTTATTGCGTAGTGCCTGCAGGCACACGTAATAACTAGTATATACGTATTATCTCTAGAATTCTGTTTTCATTTTCTTATTTGCAAGGGGGGTGCACTATCCTTAATGGTTTTAACACCAAAAACAAATGGAAGAGGCAAACTAAAAAATATTTTCAAAGTCAGAGGGAGTGATTGTAATTTGAGAAAAGTGAGTGGGCACGTTACAAATTACTAGAAAATAAAGCAGACATATTGTATTTTACTCGCCAGCAAACTGCCCAATGCATTATTTTACTCGCCAATGAACGGCGGACGGCCCATGCCATGCATTATTGTGGATTTGGGGCCTACATTTTGGACGGTACATGTGGACACGTGGAAACACTTAGAAATTGGATTTGGATTCCAGACCAATGTTTCGAGGACTTGTCTCCTGTTCTAAAAAAATAAAATTTCGATATTATATTAATTTTTATTATATTTGTGAATATTTTTATTATATTTATAAATATTTTTTACCACCGTTGTAGTATATAATTTTCTTAACAATGATAAAAACAATCATAACAATGGTAAATCATGTACAAAAGTGATAAATTATTTTTTACCGAAGAAAAGTAATAAAAATAGTTATCATAACAGTGATAAAAATACCAACAGAAGTGATAATTTTTTTGATTATAAAATAACTTACAAAAAATGTAAAAATATCTATTAAAATAGTAAAATTTGAAGGTATAATACCGAATTTTTTTTTGGATAGCGTAATGAAGTCCATGTTTCAAATGTCACTGGTTTAGCACTAATTATATGCTATATTAGCATTTGGTCAATTTTTTTGAATTAGTTAAACTAACAATTAATTATAATCACCTTTCCAAGACTAATTGAATATTATTTCATGTATCAAACTGATATTTTTTTAAGTTGTCAAGATTCTTATTTTTCTTATCAATAATGTTATTTAGACTTAATTTCTTATCACGATTTCTTCACCTAATCTATCACAACCACAACCATTGGATTAGTTGGATAAGTGTTTTGAGTGACTGAATCATTGCTTACCTTCTCTTTCATCTACAACTTTCATTGATAAGNATTTGATTATTTATATAAGGCTATGTGATAAAATTGAGGTTTTTTTATTTTTTATCTAGGTTGCTCAGAATTTTTCTCAGATTTGTAGTTTACTTTAATCACTTGATTTGTTGGTTTTTCGTATCGAAATTATAATCTTTTGGTGGAAAAATTAATTGTTTTTCGTTGATATTGTTAGGTTTGAACATGTTTTTTATTGCGTAGTGCCTGCAGGCACACGTAATAACTAGTATATACGTATTATCTCTAGAATTCTGTTTTCATTTTCTTATTTGCAAGGGGGGTGCACTATCCTTAATGGTTTTAACACCAAAAACAAATGGAAGAGGCAAACTAAAAAATATTTTCAAAGTCAGAGGGAGTGATTGTAATTTGAGAAAAGTGAGTGGGCACGTTACAAATTACTAGAAAATAAAGCAGACATATTGTATTTTACTCGCCAGCAAACTGCCCAATGCATTATTTTACTCGCCAATGAACGGCGGACGGCCCATGCCATGCATTATTGTGGATTTGGGGCCTACATTTTGGACGGTACATGTGGACACGTGGAAACACTTAGAAATTGGATTTGGATTCCAGACCAATGTTTCGAGGACTTGTCTCCTGTTCTAAAAAAATAAAATTTCGATATTATATTAATTTTTATTATATTTGTGAATATTTTTATTATATTTATAAATATTTTTTACCACCGTTGTAGTATATAATTTTCTTAACAATGATAAAAACAATCATAACAATGGTAAATCATGTACAAAAGTGATAAATTATTTTTTACCGAAGAAAAGTAATAAAAATAGTTATCATAACAGTGATAAAAATACCAACAGAAGTGATAATTTTTTTGATTATAAAATAACTTACAAAAAATGTAAAAATATCTATTAAAATAGTAAAATTTGAAGGTATAATACCGAATTTTTTTTTGGATAGCGTAATGAAGTCCATGTTTCAAATGTCACTGGTTTAGCACTAATTATATGCTATATTAGCATTTGGTCAATTTTTTTGAATTAGTTAAACTAACAATTAATTATAATCACCTTTCCAAGACTAATTGAATATTATTTCATGTATCAAACTGATATTTTTTTAAGTTGTCAAGATTCTTATTTTTCTTATCAATAATGTTATTTAGACTTAATTTCTTATCACGATTTCTTCACCTAATCTATCACAACCACAACCATTGGATTAGTTGGATAAGTGTTTTGAGTGACTGAATCATTGCTTACCTTCTCTTTCATCTACAACTTTCATTGATAAGTTTGTGTTTGTACATACAGGCTACTGTAAGAAGAGTCTGAAAGTTAAAACCTGTCCCTAGTCCAAAACCTTTAGACACACCACCTGAAAAATAAAGATTTAAGCTGAGAGAGAGAGAGAGAGAGACATTCATATATACCTGATGATTATCAGAGCCAGTGTTGTGGCTTGATTGTGCATTCCCACCAGCTGGACTTAGCTGCATTGGACTGTAACTCTCGTGGCACGAACCGGCTGGTAACCGGAAAGAAACAGAACGGAGTGTCATGAGGTCTTTCGGAAGGTTTGAGCTCGGCATTCGAAAAGAAGCTGATCGGAACATGTCCTGCCATGAGAGGTCCGACCCCGAGGACCCGGAATTATATTCAAGCTTATTACCAGGCTTTCGAAAGGAAGCTGATCGAAACATGCCTTGCCATGAAAGATCCGAGGAGTTGGAATTAAATTCAAGCTTATCACTTGCAATTTGTCCCATTGTGTGATAAGCTCCACAGATTATAGAGCTACTTTTTTTTTTTTTCCTTCCTGCTGAATTGTATGAAAAGGGTGTGTATCACTGCGTGTATATATATATATATATATATAAAGAGAGAGAGAGAGAGAGAGAGAGAAGCTTCCCTGAAACTTCTCAAATTGCACCTACGACAGCAAGTTCAGTAGAGGATGTTGTTTTATAACTTTTGTTGCAGTCTTTATATGTCTCTTGACCATTATATATAAATAAACCTGATTAGTGACATAAGCCGGGTGTGAAATAGAAAAGGATTTTATGTGAAGGCATGACCAGCTCCCATGTGATCTATTAATAGTTTGTTCTTTCTACGGTAACCTGATTAAATCATCTAACTTGAGGATCATATGTTTGTAAAGTATCTCAAACATTGTTTAAATTAACAAACACAAGGTCACGGATTCGAATTTTACCTTTCTCCCTCCGGTAATAATTTCAAACAGTAACCAAAAAAAAAAGTCAGACAGTAGGTATATGGGTATCTGCAACTTTATAGAACTAAACAACCTATCCCAAATTTGGCATATTTGGTAAGGGGTAATATAGTAATTTTATCACCTTTCAGAATATTGCAAGTTTGCCATTAGTATTTGTAGCTCTCATACTATATAGTTACACTTGGGGTAGTCTTTTTTTGAATTCTTGTATTTTGCTCTTTTTATAGTGGATTTAGTGTGACTTCATGATTTTTTTCGTGGGTCTCGGGTTTTCCCATGTAAATTTAGGTGTTTAGGGAAGTTAATTCAAAACAAATCTTCATTTCTTGGTGAATGGGTTGACCTCCAGCCCTTGATGTATGAGTTTAAAGATGAGATTACTAACTATGACCTCACTTCATCTACGACGATGCATGGCTACCCACAAGAGCTGCCATGCAAGTTTGATCATATAATAAGCTTCACGAGATGGGGACAGGCTTTTTTAAAGAATATCTAGTTTACTATAGTTAAAATTAGGTAGGCTGACATAGGACTAACTAAGAATTCACTTGAGAAAATAAATATATATGTGAACAAATCAGTTTTGATGATCTCATTGACATTGGCCGACATACTTCCTTTGAAGGGAAAAAAATCAACGGCACCCACTTGGTATCTTACATAAAATATTCGAGATATGTAACGAATTGAGATAAATTCATTATCCAATAAGGCCTGAAAGAAGTTTAGGATCAAAGCAAATTGTAGGAGTCACATTTTGCTTGACAATTTGAACCAATCATAACCGATCATACTTTTTTTTTTTTTTTCATTCAACGAGTATTCGAGTTAACTTACGTGTATTTCGATTAATTTTCTTTTTAGTTCAATCAAAGACATGTCATTCACGTTGAAACTAGAGTATTAATAAGGGATATTTATTCCTATCTCAAAAAATTGTAAAAATTTGAACTCAAAACGTCTGATTTTACAACTCTTTTTTATTATTATTTGAACTACCCCTCGTGTTAAGTTAGATCATACTCAAAGCTAGATAAAAGGGGCCTCATTTTGCCGGAGTATGACTTCAACTCAAGCTCTTCTCTCATGCTCAGAAGTTTCTGTTGAACTGCGGTTGAATATTAGTCTAAACTTAATGAGTTATGATCGAATCAAGTTTAAACATTCTCAAACATTGGTCAAAACATCCCTACCCACCTATCATTCCAGCACTTGGTTTTGATTTATTTTTGGATGTTCTTTTGAACGGTCAGAATATCCGAACTAATTTACGCGCATGCTTTAGAACAAACATTTTACTTGTAGCACATAAAAAAATTTGAGTTAAGAGATTCCAAAAAAAACTACAAAAAACTCATATAACATTGATAACATTCTGTTGCATTCTCTCTCTCTCTCTCTTTCCTCTGCAATAAAAGAGACACAACATTGCTTTCTGACAAGTATCAAGTGACAATTCAAAGATGGGAGGTGTTAATTTTTCTGCGAAGACAAATGTAAGCAAAGAAGCGATAACCAAGAGCCATGGCCAACAATACCCAAACTTCTTGTAAGCCACCGTTTAAATTTACAGTGTCAAACGAAGGTGAACTCTGCAGTGTCCTGCAACCTCCTCTGCTTTCACACTCATACAATTCATCTCCTGAATATTGCACTTTCAGCAGGAGCCTAAAGCCATAGAACATGAAGGATACGTACTTCATCCACTGCATGAATTTTGGTATGTGCTGCAATAGAAACCAACATATTGTAAGCCGATATATAGTTGTCATCGACACTGAATCGACTGAACATGGCTTATACACGACACAAATTTTACTGTACACAACTATAAGTGGGTTTGGTTGGGTATAGAATAAGTGACTCTTGACACGACACCCACACCTTTAGATGACTATAATACATGACACGACCCATTAATAGTCTTTTAACTTAAATCTTATCTCATGTAGCAGTAAAGATTCATGACATCCATATAAATTTCCAAAGGCTTCATGTCAAGTGCAACTATCCATGGAGCAATGAAACTAAAGCAGCACAGATATATAGTCTTTTCATTACTAAACTAAGAGTTTGATCTTGTACATTTGAATACCTGAACATAATAACCTCCTGTGAGAAGGAACAACATTAGTACCATAGAAGCAATCATCCCTGCCCTTTTAATACTCATTACTGCAGCTCCAAAGAGCTCTCCTGCCCCCTAATCACAAAAAAGAGCAATTAAATTTTGTTTAGAATTCGGGAAGGAAAGAACTTTTTATCTCGACCGTGATTGCACAAAAGTCAATAATTTTCATTCAGCTGACACTAAAAAGGTAATAAAACTTACTTGGCTTGTAATAGCTATCAATAGTATTGCAGACAATGTCATGAAGAAGCACTGGACTGTTCTCTTAAAGCCAGCCATGAAGTACAGAATGCACATAAAAAGAGTAGGATACAGAACATGTGCCACCATGTCACACAAAGTGCTACACACATAATATACACTTAATCTGTACATATCTGATTTCCTTTCTTTCACCAAATAGAGCTTCTCAAATGGGAACACATATACCGCTCCGAATATTGATGAAGATGTCCAAAAGATACAGACATAGAACATCAAACCAATCTGCAATTGAGGGTCAAATGAATCACCTTTTTATTTTGCAAAGGTTTAGTCCCAATTAGTAGGACATTAACTACAATTTGTTGTTTAAAATAGCAGGCGGTTTTACCTGATCTCTGAGTTGAGCCTCAGTTTTGGTGTCTGATTTCCACCAAAGAAGGCCTAACAACACGGCTACTCCAAGTGCTTGAGCCAGTCGTAGCTTATCAAAGTAATCTCTCCATCTCTCTTTAAATGTTCTCTTACATAGTATCATGAATTGTTCCCACCAACTCATTGTCCAATCCTTCTTGACCTGAATGGCTAATTGGAGATGGTCTGGTGTCTTTGCTGCTTGATGATTCTCTGCTTTTTCTTTTGGCTCTAATTCAATCTTGTATTTCTGCTGCAGATACTACTATACCGAAAACAATGATGTGAATGGGAGTATGAAAGGAACATTTCATAATCAAAAATGACAAACAGAGTGAGAGAACTAATGGAGAATGAAAAGCTCACTCTTATTATGACCCCCTCATATTCAGAAGTGCTTTGAGGTGCCGGTAAATCTTCAGGAACACTAATATCGTTCACTTGTCCAGTTGCTAAATCCAGCAAGAATTCTGCAGGGTTCATAGCTATCTCTGGAGAGAATCTTAGAGACGAGAAGTAAACAATCGATTCTCTGGCCTTCCCACAATACACAGGGTACCCTTCTGATATCAACAAAACCTTGTCAAACATGTGAAACATCCTGCTTGAAGGCTGGTGGATCGTCGTAATTATTGTTCTTCCTGCCTGTATGCCCATCAAATACAACCTTTAGTACATTTTTTTTTTGGATTCGTACCTGAATTAGTGTCAAATTTTGTTATTGGTAGTAATTCAATCCGAAAGTAGCTTAGATCCTCAAATTTTGTGTAAATATTCAATCCATAACACTTGAATCATATGTTGTGACTCAGAAATATTTTGAGAAGTACTGAATTCTGCAATATCAGCACTGAACAAACATGGTGCAGTGTAAGGAGTACTACTAGTTTGCAGGATTTGGGCAGGAGTGCACAGTCTCATACTGTTATTCTCACAGAGTTCTCTACCTTAGCAACTCCTTGAAGGATCTGAAGGAGTTTGGTTGCAGAGGTCGAATCAAGTCCTGAAGTTGGTTCATCAAGCAACAGCAATGAAGGATCAACAAGAATTTCATATCCTATGCTGGTTCTTTTTCTTTCTCCCCCGGATATGCCTTTAACAAATGCCCCTCCTATTCTTGTGTGACGACATCTGTGTATGTAGGGAATTCAGAAACACAAGATTATAACAATGACATTGAGTTTGTTCACATTACAAAGCTTCATAATCATATGCAAACGTATAAGTATAGTTTTATACAAACCTTTCAAGGCCTAATTCCTTAACAATCATCTCGACTCTTTCATGTTTTTGCCTTCGGCTCATGCTGCTTGGAAGTCTTAAAAATGCAGCGAAAACCATTGTTTCCTCTACTGTCAACTGTGGAAAGAGCACATCATCTTGTGTCACAAATCCAATCCTGAAAAGCGATCAACATAATATCTTAAACTGATTCGAAAATATATATCCCAAAAGGCATTAGGAAAGATATCCTGATGGATTTATAGAATCAGCTAACCTCCTCTTAAGAGCTGCATTGTATGGGATGTCATTGTAAGTGATGGTTCCTTTAACGTTTTCGTGTAACCTTCCCCCTATTATCTTTAACAACGTTGTTTTCCCACTGCCAGAAGGCCCCATTAAAGCAAGGATTTCCCCCGGACGAATACTTCCTGTTATACCTTTCAATATCTGCTTGTAATTATCTTGATCCATGTTCAGTTGTGAGGCTACCTTCGACACAACTGCCTTCACTGGGTTGCTGGAGGCTGCTAGGTTAATTTTAACCTTATATTCCACATCTTCAAACTGCATTTTAAACAGAAGTAGAAAAAAAAATAGTCAGGATAAGACTTTGTTGAGTTGAGTTAATTTGAACCGGGAAACCTCATAAGATAGACTACCTTGAGAAATACTGGAAGGGGGCGATCTTTACTGTTATACGGTGTCTCGTCCTCTATATCAATCTCTGAGCTCCTATTTCTGAGGTAGGCTTGAGACATGAACTCTATGTTATGACCAAAGCCATTGCTCCCTGCAATTTGCATGGAACCCATTGTTGGAGGGGACAGTGACAAGTCTTCAATCTGATCTTCTCTTCCTGTTTCCATTGGGACTAATAATCGAAAACTTGAAGCTCCGTCTTCTTTAATGGGGATTCGTAATCAACTATTACAAACCAAAAGCTTGCCTATATAGTGAGGAAGGATGTTAGTTGTTGAGCCACATGCTTTTTATGCCTACCCTTTGTAACAAAGGACTAGTTTTAGTTATGACACACCCTTGGTACTTCATTGACTAGCCGAGTTAATACGTTAAAAACACGATTAGGAGATCTCAAACTTAAGTCGACTAAATTCTTTTCTTGACAATATATGTTAAGTTCGAGTTTCAACTACAACTTACTCGATGACTTTGTCTCATTTAAATCCTAGCTTGGATTAGGATTTACCAATGGTTCAAATACTATATTTTGCACTTTTTTCAGCGATAAAACACCACTAATTGAGAAAAGAAAGAAAAAATACCTCTGAAATCTTCAAGAGAGAACCAAGTGTAGGAGTGCGACGTCGTTTAACGGTAGTTAGAAGCAACAGAATCCCAATGTGTCAAAGCAAACACGCACCAATCGAATAAAGAGGATGTAGTGGACAACTTTGTCTTGTACGAATCAGAGCAATTGATGGATGAATAATGTATGGAATTGGCATCGATAAATTTGCAATAACCAAGATGTCATAAGGATGTGAAACAAGATCTTATAAATCATCAATAAAACCAAAGTCTTCTAAAATGATTGTCATTAGACAGTGCAAATGATGATGGTGGAACGGGGTGAAGCAAGCTGCTTAGTCTTTGTTTTATATTTTCTTAGATTATTTTGAGAGCTACCTGTATGGCGATCGGGTCCGTGTCCAATTTTGGTGTTTGATTATATTTTTGGGAGAATTACATGCAAATCTTATGAGATTTGTTATTTAATTATTCAGATTCCCGGACATTTGAAATATTACATATAAATCCCCTAAAGTTTGTACGTACATAACACTTAAACACTTGTTGTAAATATATCTATTAATAAATTACACTTAGACTGCCCTAAATTTTGTGGGTATATAATACTTAGATCCTTTAAGTTTAAAATATTATACTTAGACCAAAAAAACTCCAATCAAATTTAAAATATCAAATATTTTAAATTTTACAACTAAAATTCATGTTCTATTGTATCATTTATTAAAATAAAATCAAAAATTCAAATTCAAATTTTTCTTAAAAAATTGTAATTGATATATAATTATATTGTCTATTAGAATTTAATTTTGTCGTTTAAATGACCAAATTAAAATACCGAACTACTCTAATTAAATCTAAAAGATATTGTATCAATTACAATTTGATTCCTTGTTTAATTTTTTAGTTTTGTTCTAAAAGATAGTATAAATATATTCTAACAATGTTTTTTTTTTAAATAATTTTTTTTGATTTTATTTCAATAATTTTTTTTTTGTTTTTTTTTTATTTTTGATTTTACTTAAAAGGTCTAAATATTATATATCCACAAACTTTAGGGGAGTCTAAGTATAATTATTAGTGAATATATTTATAACAAGGGTCTAAGTGTTACGCGTATACAAATTTCTGGGGGTCTGAGTGATTAAGTGGCAAACTTCAGGAAGTCTGAGCGTAATTCTCCCTATATTTTTTATGTACTATTTATTTCCTTATACTCCATTTGGTACGATGGAAAAATAGAAAAATTAAAAGTTAGAATGATGAAAAAATAGATGGATTAACTTTTTTTTCAACTCACCAAAATCAATTCCTCCAAAATCGAAAGGAAAATAGATAAAAAATTAATTATTTGTGTGGAGATGTATCTTATTTGTCTATATATATATATATATATATAATAAAAAAATTAAATTAAAAAAAATATTTTTTTTATTTTAACTAGGGGTCAAAATTTTTGATTCAACACAATAATACGACTCGAATTCAACACAAATTTTATGACACGAATTTAATTATAATTCAACACGAACTTGAAAATGACCTGACATGAGAATAAAAGATATAAAAGACTCATAATTTTATGACACAACACAAATTTGACACGACTTGACTCGATTATCAACCATAATCTTAATCATCACAAAAAAATAAAAATAAAAAATTAGTAATTTTTATTTTCCAGCCACCCAACCAAACACACACAAAAGAAAAAAAATGTATCATTCTTATTTTTCATTATTGAAGAATAAAAAGTGTATCCTTCCTATTTTTCATCATTCCTACTAAACGGATATTAATCTTAATTTTATTTACTAAAAAAAAAAAAAAAAGGCAAACAAGTACAACGTCGTATAACAGACAACTATAACGGGGAAGTCTAAGGAAACCTTGTGGACTACAAATACAAAAGGAAGAACGAGAGAGAGAGAGAGTCTGAGATATATACAGACACCTTACAGGCTTTACAGTTCAAAAAAAGCAAGCACAGATTCAATCAAACCCTACAGAACAAATTCAGACAGAGAAAATCGAATAGGATGGAAGAATCGCGAGAAGTTCTATTGAGTTGGCTCGCGAACTCGGGAGTTGAGATTCCACTAGGTGTTTCGTCGATTGAGCACCTCACGCCGGCCACGTTGGTCTCAATCTGCTCTCAATCACTCCGCTTGATTGATAATACGTCGTCGTTTCCCACATCTCTGCCTGACTCAATGGCTGACCAGTTCAAGATCTGTACAGACATCGCCGCCGCCGTGAAGAACTTGGGTTACATCGGAGACATGAGCTTCCACAAGGTTAAATATAACAATTCTTTTATTTGTTAGTTCGTGAATTTCTGTGCAGTTGAACTCTCTGTTTAATTACTGAGATAATCTAGTAAAAGTGACTTACAAAGTTATTAATTGCAGCAATAAATGTCAGAATATAGTGGTATTGTATTGTCTAGTTGGATTAGTGTTCAAGACCCAGCAAACATGAAAGTTCATTACCCTGTCTGTTGTAATTATTAAAATCGTTAATGATTGTGGCTGAACCAATCTTTGTTAAGCTGGATGTAGGTATGAATCAGTTAAATAACCTTAGTAATGATAGCTTGTTCAGTAGATTTATTTGTGATTGGGTTCTGTTTGCTATGGAAGCTAGAGTAAAACAGAAAGGTTATACAATCTGTTGCATCATTAATTTGATTGCCTTTACTCCTTTTTTTTTTTCCCAGCAGTTCATCATATTTATTGCTTTCCGGCCTCTTGTTTTCTGCCTCTAGTGCTTTCATGTCTTTGAAATATGAACTTAGACACTCAAACTTGGATTTCACATATTTAATCTTTTGATCTCATAAATAGAAATTTGATCTTTTTATGTCTAAGCAACCATGGGTGTTGGAGCAATCTGAGCACAGGAACTTTTAGATTTTTTTTTCTTTTACCAAATGGCGCAATTGAACCCTTCTTCTATATTCATATCTCTCTGTCCCCACTTCACCCACCCAGAAAAAGAAACATATTTTAAGCCTTTCTTCTGCTTTTGATTGTCTTCATCTTAATTTTCTGATATTGTTCTTAGAAATAGTACAAATGTGTTGTTTACGGCAGTTCCTTTATCCATCTGAAGAGGACGTGTATAAGTTGGTGAGGTTCTTGGTGGAGAGGCTGTCTGAATCATCCGAAGCTGGGAAATCTGCAGAATTGAAAACACTCGATACTAGAATACTACCAGAGAAAAAAGAATTTAGAAACACTTCAGAGGATCGATTTTTACAGCTGCGTAATGAGGAGATCATAACCAGTTTGAAGGATCTGAGACTGAATGGTGAAATGCCAGAGTCCTTGATTGCTAAGCCTGAAGCTATCATCGTCACTGATGAGTCCAATGTGTCTGATATGATTCCACTAAAGATCCAAGAGGTTGCTCCGGCTGAGGCATGTGGAACAGGCATACAAGACTCAAGTAAGGACTCTACGACTGTTCTGGAAAATGCCCACGGTTGGATCGATGGTATCAGCGACTCTAGATTTAATGCTTCCGAAAATGAAGAAACTGCAGCTCACAAAGATAGTAAACATGTTGAACAGAATGAGCAGAAACAAACTTCTTGTCAAGAGCATTCTTCTGAGGTACATTCACTTGAACTCATGTGACTTTGATTAGTTATTTGAACGTAGCAATCCAGAAAGAACTATTAGGCCAAGGAGCTGCCTGGTATTCAAGGGCAATCAAAAGCTTTAAGATGAGATAAAAGCTAAAATCAAGGAGAGCAAAAGTGTCTCTTTTCCTTTTGACATTTGGTTCTTGACCACATAGTAAAAGGAAAGGAGGGGAGGTGGTTATATGTTTGATTGGTGTCTACATTTTACAGATTAAAAAGTTACAAAGTCAAGAAAAAGTTCTGTTGGAGGAGCTGAATGCAAAGTCTTTAGAACTAGCATGGCTGGAAGAAGAACACGAGCTATTGAAAGCAGCAGTAGAAATGGCATTTGACAATCAACATCCTATTGACTTTTACATTGTGCAACTCAATGAGCAAATAGATGCAAAAAGGCATAATCTTGTCCAACTGGAGTCACAGTGGTAGTATGTTGTTATTTGATTCACTTATATTAATATTTAATCTTATTGGACTTGGCAAAGTCTTTTCTCTGTGGTCCTTGCGTAAAATGATCCATAAATAAAGTTGTGAACTAATACCCATAAAAATTTGTATTTATTTCACTTGACATCTGTGATAGGGATGCTTTCAGAGAGTCCTTGGAAGAGAAAAAGAGAAGTCTTGAGGAGGCTCTCTATGCAACAAAACCAGAAGCGCAACAAAAGCTCCAAAAGTTGAAAGAAATCGACTTGGAAACAAAGTCCATCTTATCTGAAATCAAAAGAAGGTACTTTATTGACAGGAAAATGTTTTATTTGTACATAATTCATGCTTTCCATGCTGTTCAGTGGAAGAGCGTGATTTATTATCTCAAAATTCTTAATTTTTTGGAATTTTGAGTACTGTCACCACTCATCAGCAAAATAACATACATCACATCTTGCATGTATTTTCATTTGCAGACCCTCTTCTTGTATTGTGCAGATTTTATGCTTCCACTATGTTTCCTGAAACACTTGAAACAAATTCATTTCAATGTTCCCTGACATTGAATTGGCCTTCTCACTGCAAGTTTAATCCTGTTTTTTCATTCCTAAAGTGATGTCAGTTCACTTTTTAGTGTAATCACTGCATATTTATTATCCTATTCCATGTCTTAGAGGTCGCTTCCTCCACATGATCTTGGTTATAATAGGTAGCATATAGTGTTGATGTATTAACGATATCTATGCTACTAACAGTGCGATTGATTATCACTCTGCACCTTCACAAAGGAAAGGTGCAGAGATTAAGTTGGTGTTGTGGCGCACGCAAGTGTGCACTACTCTTTGAAAAAGAGCTATTGGTGATGGAGACTAACAGATCATGGAAAAGGACATCAACCCTAAAAATGCTGACTTTTAGGCCCACATATTAATCTTCTCTCCCTCGCTTCGTGCAAATTTGTGGATGAACCCACTTGCCATGTATAGGAAGTTGTCCCATGGTGTATGCTATTCTCTGAGATGTGATACACAATCCCTGTCCTGCAATCTTTCAGAGTATTGCTGTGGAGGACATTTTCATTGTATAAGCATTAAAGCTATAACTTCATAGACTGCTGTAGAAAGCAGACAGAGGAAATGAGTCATCTAATGGCCCACTGATGTCGGTCATAGCTGACCCATTTTGGTTTCCAAGCTTCGCTAAAATAATATTATGGCATTTCTTATGCTGGATTTCTTGTTATTTTACAGAGAGGAGGAGGTGCCTAAACTTGTGAAAGATCTAGATAAACAACCCAAATTGCCATCTAGGGGATCCTACATTCAGAAGATCAAGGAGATCACAAAGAACAGTCGGAAACAGGATGGCGACATAGAGCGGATCTTAAAAGAAACCAGAGAGCTTCAGTTAGAGAGTAATTCTATCCAAGAACGACTTCATCGAACTTATGCTGTGGTAGACGAAACAGTTTTCAGGTACAGAGTCAGATTCTCGTGGTTTTGTGCCTTGCAGAAAATGTTTACATATGTACAAGTTTAATTGTTGTCACAAATCTCTTTGTACTTTCTGTCAGCCATTATTTCCTCTTGACTGTACATGAAATTATTATCTCGCATGTTTGAAGGGAGGCGAAGAAAGACCCAGTAGGGCGGCAAGCTTACAGGCTGCTCACCAGCATACATGAGAGCTTTGAACAGATCTCTGAAAAGATCCTTGCCACTGACAGAACAAGCAGGGAAGTGGCTGACCTTGAAGCCAAGCTTGCATCCATGGCCTCACGAAGCTTAAATATTGATAAGCTACAAGCAGATCTTGATTCCATCAGGGAGGAAAATGAATCCCTTCAGCAAGGCCTCTCTAATTCGTGAATGTGCAAATTTGTCCGTGGACTTTCACAGTCAACCAATGTTGATTTCTTAATGGTTGTATCATAGAGATGTTCGAATAGGCACTCCGAATTTATTCATTATTTGTGGAGAAGAAGAAATTGATTGTACGTTCATTTATTTTCTTGTGAATAGTCTTTGTTTTACATTTTTAGTTCTCCCTCGGTTTACCTATTTTCTCTAAACATGCATAATTGCATAGTATACACTATACTTAAACAGTCACGAGTATTCATGTCAGTTTACGCACATCTCAACTTATTTTTTTTTCAGTTTGGTCAAAGACATGTCATACACATCGGGACTAGGGTATTCATTAAGAATAAATCTTTCATCGTCTGACATCAAAGTATAGTTAAGATTCGAACTTGAGATATTTGAATTTACAATTTATGTCTGTTATCACTTGAGGTTATTGTAAATTATTTACGATGCCGCAGCTAGTGCCGGTGGAGTTGTACGTCCATTTTTTTGAGCTTTGAGGTTGTTTTTCACTTTTTTTACGATTTATTGGAAATTTTAAATAAGTTATTTTTTTGTATTTGATTGATATTGTATTGAGGTTTTTGATAATATAAATAAAATTTTGGATTGAAATTTGTATGATACCTATGTCAGATTTTCAATCCTTTGTTTTTGCTCTAGGGTATTATTTTTTCTTTTTTTGTTCAGACTTTTAATAGTTTATATACCCAACAAATATGCTTTAATAGCTTGTTTGCTTAAAGAGAGTAGTTAAAAATTGTTGAATGGTGGAAAAACATACCATATTTTGGGACTGTTTGGGCCTCTAACCTTAGAACCAAATGTAAATATTGAGATCAGTGGTCATCTTAAGACCATTGCAATTAGTCATTAGATTGTTAGAAATATAAAAAATAGGGATTACGTGAAGTAATTCAAAATGAATCCTGTTTCATTTTAGAAAGAGTGATTGAATTGTGGTGAAAAAATAATGAAAGTCTTGATCATATTTTTATTTATAGACTTTTGAAAATCTTGAATTGTGGTGAGGGAGGATTGTGTAATTTTTTTTAAAACAAAAACTAAGTCCACGGGAGTATCTGTAATTTTATACAAAAAAAAAATTAAAATAGAATCACAGGAAATTAACCACAAAGATTAATGGGTGGGAGCGTTAGACTTATGGCGGTCGGTTGAAGTTCCCAAATATTTTTAAAATTAGGAAAGGAGAGCAATTAAAAAAATAGCCGTTAAGAAACCCTAATATTTATTATAAAAATTTCCTCTTTCAAAACCCACCGGCTCTGTCTCGCGCTCTCCCTTCATCTCTCTTCGTCTTCTCTCTCGCAGTCTCTCGCTCTCTGTCTCGCTCTCTGTCTTGCTGCCGGCACTCCTGCGAAACCTTCAACCCAATATTTATTATAAAAATTCCCCCTTTCAAAACCCACCACTCTGTCTCTCGCTCTCTCTTGGTCTCTCGGGCTCTCTCTCTCTCACTCGCTCTCTCTTCGTCTCCCCTCTCTCTCTCTCTGTCGCAGTCTCCCACTCTCTGTTCCTCAGCCTCGCCGTCTCTCTTTTGCCGCCCCTTTAACTTCCATAAAATCACAGGCCAGCAACACAGACGAGGATTTGATTGAACTACCACAACTTCGAGATTGGTTTGGCAACTTAAAGAATCCAGGTTTACTCTTTCTTATCTCTCTCCATCCCGTTGATTTAATAATGAATTTGTTTATTGTACATTAGTATTTCTTGCTCAATCATGTAATGAAAATTGAATTTTAGGAAAATTTCAGCCATATCCTTCTGGTTTACCATATCTTCAAGGACTTCCCTATGTTTTCTGAATTTTCAATGACACCCCTTGCAGATCAAAGGTGTTAATTAAAATACAAATTTTAATTACTTAACCAAATTTCAGTTGCAATATCTGGAAATATGGCTTGAAATTTTCTTTTTTATTTACAAAAGCTCTTAAACTCTCACTGTAATTGCGTAGTTCAGTAGGAAAACGATGTTCTTATATATACGTCAGTTTTATTACTCTTACAATTTCATATAATTGGATACTTGTTTTAACTAATAATCTAAAAAAATTAATAAAATAAAAATATGGTTATAGTTTGTTTAAGATTTATGTCCAATAAATAGGCTAAGAGTTATCGTATTTGATAGTTCGATTTCGAACCAATTAATCAATCAATGCCCATGCCCAGATAAGCTAACCAAACCTACACTTGGATCGTTAATTAGTGAGCAGCCCAACTTAACTTTGAATGATATGTATCATGTTTCTTTAAATAGGGGACTATATTTGTTGTGTTTTGTATTTATTGTTTATGTGTTTTAAACAACTACTCTAATATTGACATAATTGTAAGTTGCGTTATGAGACTTCCATTTGTATGGTTTTACTATATGTTGTATGTGCTTACTTTCATGCTGTTGAATCTAGGATGTTTGTCCATTTTCATTGCTATTGTCATTTTTATTTTTTTATGCTAAAAATACCATAAAATATTAATTGCATGCTTAAATGAATTTAATTGCTACTTAACTAGNGCTCTGTCTCGCGCTCTCCCTTCATCTCTCTTCGTCTTCTCTCTCGCAGTCTCTCGCTCTCTGTCTCGCTCTCTGTCTTGCTGCCGGCACTCCTGCGAAACCTTCAACCCAATATTTATTATAAAAATTCCCCCTTTCAAAACCCACCACTCTGTCTCTCGCTCTCTCTTGGTCTCTCGGGCTCTCTCTCTCTCACTCGCTCTCTCTTCGTCTCCCCTCTCTCTCTCTCTGTCGCAGTCTCCCACTCTCTGTTCCTCAGCCTCGCCGTCTCTCTTTTGCCGCCCCTTTAACTTCCATAAAATCACAGGCCAGCAACACAGACGAGGATTTGATTGAACTACCACAACTTCGAGATTGGTTTGGCAACTTAAAGAATCCAGGTTTACTCTTTCTTATCTCTCTCCATCCCGTTGATTTAATAATGAATTTGTTTATTGTACATTAGTATTTCTTGCTCAATCATGTAATGAAAATTGAATTTTAGGAAAATTTCAGCCATACCCTTCTGGTTTACCATATCTTCAAGGACTTCCCTATGTTTTCTGAATTTTCAATGACACCCCTTTCAGATCAAAGGTGTTAATTAAAATACAATTTTTAATTACTTAACCAAATTTCAGTTGCAATATCTGGAAATATGGCTTGAAATTTTCTTTTTTATTTACAAAAGCTCTTAAACTCTCACTGTAATTGCGTAGTTCAATAGGAAAACGATGTTCTTATATATACGTCAGTTTTATTACTCTTACAATTTCATATAATTGGATACTTGTTTTAACTAATAATCTAAAAAAATTAATAAAATAAAAATATGGTTATAGTTTGTTTAAGATTTATGTCCAATAAATAGGCTAAGAGTTATCGTATTTGATAGTTCGATTTCGAACCAATTAATCAATCAATGCCCATGCCCAGATAAGCTAACCAAACCTACACTTGGATCGTTAATTAGTGAGCAGCCCAACTTAACTTTGAATGATATGTATCATGTTTCTTTAAATAGGGGACTATATTTGTTGTTTTTTGTATTTATTGTTTATGTGTTTTAAACAACTACTCTAATATTGACATAATTGTAAGTTGCGTTATGAGACTTCCATTTGTATGGTTTTACTATATGTTGTATGTGCTTACTTTCATGTTGTTGAATCTAGGATGTTTGTCCATTTTCATTGCTATTGTCATTTTTATTTTTTTATGCTAAAAATACCATAAAATATTAATTGCATGCTTAAATGAATTTAATTGCTACTTAACTAGTTGTAAAAGCTATTTTGAGATTATTATAGATCTATGTGAAAAAGCAAAAAATAGTGGCTATATGAATACCTCCACCACTTACCAATAGGGATGTTGGTTTTATGTTAAACTTATTGGTAAGCGGTGGAGCGAACCATCAAGCTGGATGTCAGGATATTCACCTGGAGGAATTTAATTAATCGAATATTATATGGGCTTTCACTACTTTTGGGAACACGTTGAGGATCTTCAATGAAGATCTGGTTGGACAAGTAATAAGTTCAATATATTACTCTAAAAGTTTACAAAACCATAGTTGCTCCTGAAAAAGATTGAACATATAAGACAAAGAAGACAAAAACTTGAGAGATTAGACAAATAAGAGGGAGAATGTGTATATTATTGTGCAAGTATTTTCTTTGTTGTCTTTTTTTTACATGGATTACATAAGTTATCATTGTGGGATTGAACACCAAGTTGCTTTAAGTTTTGAAAAATTTCATTTGATCTAATAAGATCATATTACAAAATTACTATTGATTTTAATTTTTTAATGTACCTAAATCTCGACAAAGAAATGCGATTAAATTAAGTTTGATTTTTTGATAAGGAATGAACCGCAACAATTTCATCATAATNTCCTTCTGGTTTACCATATCTTCAAGGACTTCCCTATGTTTTCTGAATTTTCAATGACACCCCTTGCAGATCAAAGGTGTTAATTAAAATACAAATTTTAATTACTTAACCAAATTTCAGTTGCAATATCTGGAAATATGGCTTGAAATTTTCTTTTTTATTTACAAAAGCTCTTAAACTCTCACTGTAATTGCGTAGTTCAGTAGGAAAACGATGTTCTTATATATACGTCAGTTTTATTACTCTTACAATTTCATATAATTGGATACTTGTTTTAACTAATAATCTAAAAAAATTAATAAAATAAAAATATGGTTATAGTTTGTTTAAGATTTATGTCCAATAAATAGGCTAAGAGTTATCGTATTTGATAGTTCGATTTCGAACCAATTAATCAATCAATGCCCATGCCCAGATAAGCTAACCAAACCTACACTTGGATCGTTAATTAGTGAGCAGCCCAACTTAACTTTGAATGATATGTATCATGTTTCTTTAAATAGGGGACTATATTTGTTGTGTTTTGTATTTATTGTTTATGTGTTTTAAACAACTACTCTAATATTGACATAATTGTAAGTTGCGTTATGAGACTTCCATTTGTATGGTTTTACTATATGTTGTATGTGCTTACTTTCATGCTGTTGAATCTAGGATGTTTGTCCATTTTCATTGCTATTGTCATTTTTATTTTTTTATGCTAAAAATACCATAAAATATTAATTGCATGCTTAAATGAATTTAATTGCTACTTAACT